GGCTTTCCCTCCCTCTTCGGGAAAGCTGGTTGCTCAACTCTCACCAGCACACCACCGGGTGTGAGTGCACTGGGTCCCCAAGCCTTGTTTCTGGCAGCCATATCCACTGGGAGACGGTTATACACTGGTCATTTAGATAAAAACTTACTGGCCTTGTTTCAAAGGTCTGAGAAGGCTTCTTACTGTGTTCCAAATCCTTATAACAAGGCCTTCCCTTGAGTAAAGAAGGCTCCAGGCTTATGGGGGTAGGTACCTTGAACTAAGGTAGGTACCTTCTGACTCTCGGTACAGCTTTCCCACAATACCTCTGACCTGTCAGTGCAATTGCTAGTGTGTAGGAGTGGTTCCCAGTTAGTGGGAAGGATTGCATAAGATCATTGACTCTAAGTTGCTGCTGACCTACTTACATGTTAACTCTCTTCAGACTATTTGTTTTTATACCGTACAGGAAGAGTGACAAGTGGTGAGATTTCTGGCAACACTACAGGATGCAGGGGGAATTATTTGGGAGCAAGGAGCACTACCAGAATTTCTTAAATGTGCTCAGGTAACCCTGTTAATTCTGAAAATCTAGGAGAAAGAAATGCTGCTAATAATGATGATGACATTGATGGCGGTGGCAGTGGTGAGATGACGTTTTCAGGACTAATTAGTCACTGCTCTTCCTGACAATGTCTAAGGGGAGACATTATCAGTTAGGGGAGATAAATTAATACAATCCAACCAGAATCTCTGTGGTCCAATGATGTAAAAGTACTTACTGAAACATTTATTACCTAGTTTGGCAAGGCCCATGGTATGAGCTTGACTCTCTTTTCTTGTTTCACAGATGTACCAGTGATGATCTCTGGGCAGGAAACTCGGGTGTCTGGTGTAGCAGGAGTACTCTCCCCTCCCCCAGCCCATCAGTTACATCTGTGGCTTCCATCTCCCTAGAAGTTTGTTTCTGGAAGCACTGAGCAGGGTACACTGGATATGCCTAACCAGCCTATACCTTAGGGACGTACACACTTACTACAACCCCCAGAAACATAAGCTGGGCAGCGACTGTCTGGCGTTCTCAGGGGCAGCCTGTGCTGGTCTTTACCTTGTAGGCTTCGGGGCGGTCTGTGGCTTCTGACAGCGCTGAGGCTCTCCTGTGACTTTATTCTCCGGCACTCGCTTCTTGTGCGGCTCTTACTGTGTGACTCATGTGCCCGTAAGTTGTCTCTCATTTCAGTGTCTGTTTTTTCAGGCCCTCCACTGACTCATACAGAAAGGCAAATAGGCCTGCGGTATGTAGAACAGCCTACTGCAGGGAGAATTCATCGGGTTTTAAGAAAGTAAGACTTAAGGGAGGGGAAAATTCTGGGCCCTTAACTTTGGACCCAAAGCATAATAGTAACGTTTATTGTTGAACCCAAAATATAGCTAAGAAATTTATGCTCTCTGGATAAATATTTTTCATTTGTATATGCTCACCTTTTAAAATGAGCTATGTATCAACCTTCAAAGAAATCAGATTAACCCTGGATTGTCCTAAAATAAACTTTCATATTTCTGTGACATTTATAGTTGGTGAAGCAGGTTATCTCCCTTGATCCTCACAAAGCCCTGTGAACTTGTTCTTTTTATCACCCTTAATATACAAGCTTATAGAAAGCTTGCAAAGATTCAGAGACTCTCCAAAATGTCACAGGAGAATGAAGATGTGAGCCCAGGCCTCCAGAGTCCAAAGTGTGGTCTTAAAAATGATCGGACCAACAGACAAAACAAAAACTCAAATCCTAGACCAGTGTGTTTGTTTTTATAGACACACTTTAGAGCGAAAATGGCATAGTCACTAAGACACCAATTTTTTAGTAAAAAAATTTTAAAAAAAGACTGTATGAGTACAAAGAGAAGTTCCACCTGGTACTTTATTGATCAATACTATTTCCAACTTGGAACGTCATTATCTCAAACCATCCTAAAGAGGTAGTATTTCAGGCAAGGCCATTTGATAAGAGCTTCAGCAACTTTCCTTCTTAGAAGTTACTGCTCCTTTCCCAGAGACTGTCATTTGTATACTTGCAAAACAAGAAAAGAGGGTCAAGCAGGACCGTATCAAATCTCACCTTGAGTTCTTTTATCCTACCAAAGATGCAGACAATCTGGAAGCTCTTGTTATCAAAGGCATCTCATGAAGGGATAGTTCTAGATGATGATGTTCCAAATAAAAAATAGTATGGATCAAAAAATACTAGGTAGAACTCTCTTTGCACTATTTGTTTTTTACTAAATATTGGTCCCTCTTAGTGACTGTCCCATTTCGTATGTAAGAGAAAATCAAACCGTAGACTCCAGCTGTCAAAGTCAGGTTATCTATGGTGGACCTACCTATTTTGGTCCATGAAATGTTTAGAAAGATCAAATGAATCCTTACAAATAAAAACACTTCAGCGAACTCTTAGGACCCTATATGGATGAGACTGCAATCTTCAGATGAAAAAGTCAATAAACATTTTCAAATGTGAAAGGGGTATCCAAAATATGCTTGTTTAGGATGGGCTTCGAGACAGAATAATTAATGAGAGCTGATTTGTGACATCTCCAGGTATCACCTCAACTCTTCACCCATCAAACACTAAACATGAATTGAATTTTTTCTATACTTTTAAAATCATACAAATTAATTTTAGGCAGTTGTATAGCCTAATGGTGGTTTTATAGCCTTGTTAACCCTTCAGTGCTTTGGTGTTTTCTATTTTTGGAACAACCATAACAATGGAACACAATAAATTTTCTTTCTGTTCAGATTCTTATTTCTTGAATTTTTTAGGTAACATATGAATTTCATGCAAAAGTTCAAAGAATTGCAATAGTCAATAAATGGGTTAAATTCAGTATCCACCCCTAACCTGGAGCCTTCTGATTGTGATTAAGAGGCTCATGGGGCAAGACCCTGGTAGCTTGGGCTGCCTGAGCAGCTGTCCATAGGGAAAGGGACTCGACTGGAAAACTCATCTTCCCGTGTAACTGTATCAAGATAAAAGGGGCAAGACTAGTCCTGAAATTTGAAGACTTAGGCACTCAAAAGACAGCTAGTAATGGTCTCCTTGGAGCGGGAACCAGAAAGGAAATGAGACAGTGCCTAGCACGGAGGCCAAGAGAGTGGAACTTGCCACCAAAGGGATGGTGAGGAACTACGTCCACGAGCAGTGAGCACCAGCCACGACTTTCTTAATGTTTGTCCTAGGGTGATTCATAAGTGCACTGGGTCAGGACACCTAAGACTCATTGTAATATCGTAACGGTCAACATTATCTTTTGGAGCATCTGTTTGGCATACATTTTTCTTCTTTTCAAAAACTTCTGTTAGAAGTGGTGTTATTGTACGTGTACAGCGATCTCATGTGGTTTTAGGTCATACCCAAGCCTCCGAAGCCCAAGTGTTGTCGGCCCCTGGTTTGGATGCAGGTATTGTAGGAGGGGTGGACAACTTGACGCTGGCCCTGAGCAGAAAGGCCTCTTGCAGACTGTACCTGGTGAGTGTGGGTTGATGGGGAGAAAGTGTGATCATAAGGGTCAGGTATGTGGGTCCAGAAATTCTACTTCATCAATTCCCCCAAGAATGACTGATCTTTTGGAGACTAATTCACACTGCCTTAACATGAGACTGAAGAATAAAGAATGAATATGTACAATAACAGCTACCATGCTGTTAGCACTAAAAAATACATGCTGCTTGTATCTTTACTCTCTTCCAAGTATTAGGGTTCTTGGGAAACCAAATCTGTTATAAAATCATGTTGTCACTGAGGCAGAAGCCTGCACAGAAAATGGTCTTTCTACTCCAGAGATCAGAGACTCACCTCCCTTCCCTGAACAGCGCTGGAAATATGCCGTGTTCCTGTTTTCTGACACTACTTTTGCCAGACTCCAGATTCAGTCCTCACCTGCCCATTCAGATTCACTGACACCGCTGGAGGCTCTTCCTTAACTTTCATTTGCAATCTTGACTCAAGACTGTACCTGACACTGGTTCTTCCAACTTTGACTTAGAAAATCCTGGCCTTCATGGCAACTCCCAGCTGACTGCACGCAAGGTCGGTGAGGACTGCTGCCGGCAACAGCCGGCACAGCAATGAGCATCTGCTCAGGAAGGCCAGGAGCCGGGCACGCTGACGGATGCTTTATGTTCGTGAATGCATTTAATACTCAACTCTCTTAGGCAAGTGTTCACACTTAGCCCCATTTTATAGATGAGAAAGCCAAGGTAAGTAACTTCCCCAAGGCCATACAATTAGTGAGTGAGGAAGCCAGGACTCAAGCCTTTGTCACTTTGACCCTAACGCTTCGTCTCTTAACTTGTAGAACAGCAGCCTCCAGAAGTGCCCTTGCGTCTGCCTCTCACGAGAGCCTCACTGTGCACTCTTACCGACTGAGGCTGAGGCACAGCGACGACAGTTCTAACACTTTCGTAGCTGGAAGCTAGCCTCATGTGAGCTGGGGAAATACCTCATTTAGGAAAGGCAAGCAGTCCACACTATGTGGTGAGCTTAGGCAAAATGCTTCACCGCCCTCATAACTCTACCCACCCTCGGAAGGCGGCCAAGAATTACTGCCACCTCCACCCACAGGGGCCACTCCACTAAAGGCCACAAAGACGACCAGCCCTCCCTCCAGGGACTGCCTGGGATTTCTCACACCGTGGAGGTCTCTTAATGGAGAAACACGTAAATAAGAATGTTTCTGTAATTTTCTGTTTGACTCAGGTTCAGTGAAGCAATAAACATTCAGTGTTGATTTTAGGACACGAATAACAATGAAAAGTAGCTCTAAGCCCTGTTTCACTGACCCAAACTTCTATTTTCTCATTTATGTCTCAACATTTAAAAAAAAAAAAGAACAAAAGTAGATGGGGCTGGAAATTGCATGAGTTAATGTGTATCAAGAAAATGAAAACAAAAAAAATCAGATATTCCCCAACCTCATTTCAACCAAATTCTCCCCTTTTCGATATTTTACAGAACTGCTAATGAGTTGTCCATAATTACTTTATTGAGCATCTGCAAGGCACACAGCATTGTACACAGCCTGAAAATGTCACGTTCCTTGTGTCCCGTTCTGTTAAGGCTCTCTTAATCTCCGTGGTTTTGCCCACCACTGCCATGGTGCTCCAGGGAGCAAGCTGTTAGTACTTTTAAGGTAGCACTTACCATGACGTATGACAAATACAGATTAACAATGCATTCTTCCCACCATATTCTGAACTCCTTAAAGATGGGATCCATGATATTTCATCCCTGCAACCTTGATGACCAAATGCACGTTTGCTAGAAAAAGGCGTAACTGGAGAATGAAGAGTGTTTCACATCAACTACTCCTCCCAGCTCCTTGGCCAGCACTTACGTATAAGTGCTCATGCTGAGCGGGAAGCCAGCACGGAACAGGCACGGTGGACCAGTGGAGTCCAAGGGCACGGCTGACCCACAGCCTGGAAAATCAGCTCCATAAATAAAGTAGAGTTGGCTGGCTTCTCCAAGGGTCTGAAAACGTAACAGAGCCGCAGCAAAACCTTTAAGCCAAAGATGGGGTTCATAACCCAAATTCTACCTCAAGGACCCAAGCAGCTCACTGCAAATGAACCAGTCATCGGCGACTGGTGGGACTTCAAGCCCAGTGCAGCCAGTTCCAGTGAAGCAGAGGCGCAACCAGCACTGCTGTCCATAGTGTCGAACGTCAGCTACCTTTGCTATTTTCTTTTTTTTGCTTAATTATCACTTCCCAGATGTCAAAAAGACCACACAAGAATAAAAAATAGACACAGACCAAATGGATGTGAAACAAGATATTTCCAGATAACTCTCAAAGATAACTCTCACACCTCCACGGTGTGAGAAATCCCTGCTCGATGCACAATGCTTAGAAGCCATGCCATGGATCCCCTCCGCGGGCCTTTCAGAAAGTCAGTATGTCCTACGAGGAAAGAGGTGGCATGCGACACAGGAGGCACGGTGTTGTACGAACGCTGCCTGTTTCCTCCCACAGGCCAATTCCAACGTTATTCAGGGCCTGGAATCTGTCTGATGCATGAAAAACGCCCTGCTCACGGTCTGGCGCGGCAGCACACACTTGCACAGCTGACAGCCCAGGTGTGTGCGGCAGGGGCTCTGGCTCCCGACCTGCTCGCAGCCATGAGACTGGGGGCAAGCCTGCTGCTTCCTTGTACCTCTGGCTCCTTCTCAAATGTGGGATGGCCAGACTGTCACTCTGGTCACTTCCAAGATTCCTTTCTTTCATCTAGCAGCATTCTTGACCCACTGAACCCAAAGCAAACCCTCACGCTTCACTTACCCAAAGGAAAGTGTTAGTAAACACTGCTTAGGACCCTTGAGTAAACTGATGCGCCTCAGTTTATCAGCACCCTCAAGTCTGGTGCTAACACTCCTAGACTTGCATCATAGCTGACCAGGATGGCAGTTTGCTAGCTGCTATGCCACTCAGGGGGCAAGGCAACAGTTTTTTCTGCAAAATGTAACTCTTGTTACAGTCATGTTTCTCACCCACCAGCCCCAAACAAAGGGTTAACACATTAATCTTCCTTTGTTCCCTTTCTGGACCCTCAATTTTTGTGTCACGGGCTACGGCTCCATGATCAGTATCCACACAACCCTTTCCGACTGCAACCCTTCAGCACACCTAGAAAAATGCAGATGATTCCACCCCGGCTATGGAGGGCAAAGCAAAATCTGGTTCCTCTTGTTATCATTTTTAGTGCAAAATTTAAATTGACAAGTGCTTGATCAAAAAATTGGGAATTAGCTCTCAAATTTAATGTTCATTAATAATTATGCTTTATAGCCTCAGAATATAAATAAGCTCCTAGGAAATAATGATTCTTAAGTATCTTTATACACATATCTTTTTCTAACATAGCCAGAATATTTTTTGTGTCTCTTTCCTATATAGTCATTCCAAAATAATCATTTAAGGAGAGTGTTTTGCTGTACTGGGTATTCACTTGATGCATTAGAAAGCTCTTCTACGTTGCAGAATATGAATTTTCATATTTCCCTTAATATGTAGATCTTTGAGCTCAGTTGTTAGCTAGTGATTTGATATAAGTCAAGTTAATCCAGGCTTGGCTAAGGGATTTTTGGATCTACAGTGCCCATGAAGAGCAGGGCTGGCCCCTGGCGTTCCTTTTCTACAGCTAAGAGGGCTACTTACTCCATTCAAACCTGCACTCAAACTTTGTTAGGCCACATGCAGCATAAAATGCAGCAAAATTCTATTTTGGAAGAAAATAAAAATCTAACAGGTCCTTGAGAACCACAGAAAGCTAAGAGACATAGCAGAGTCCATATCCAAAAGAAAGTTATTTCAACAGACAGGTATCTGCGCTTCACCAAGGTCACCTGAGTTAGGGGTGAAGAGAAGTGAAAGCTAAGAGACTGGCCAAGGATATTCAGATCTGTTTTGTCTTAAATCTCAGAGTAATGGGAAGAACAAAATTCCTTTCTCATCTTCTCAGGAACCCTTCAGTTTAAAACTGTCCTCTTTCTAATCTTCCCTCGGTTGTAATTTCTAATTATCACAAGTTAACACCAGAATGTTTCCGTTACCCACTCTGTACTGGAGAGAATAACTGAAGTTCTTAGTAGCCTGGAAGTTTGCACATACGATTGGAAGTACCCAGCTGATTACTAGATCCCGTTCTCACCATTTTTATGTCAAGTGTAAACTCTACCATCTTCCTTTGCAAAAACAGGCAAACATCCCCAACAAAGGCCAAAAAAATAATAACTGACAGTGGATAAAAATCTACTGTGAAGACAAAATATTCCGGCTTTCTCTATTAAAAATTCAAATTCACTGTGACTGTACAATATTAGTGTTTTGAGTTCTATAATTCTCCAGAATTGTCGAAAGTAACCTTGTAGCCAACCCGCTTGAAGACATTAAAAACAACCTGAAATAGGCCACCCATAGTGCCAAAAGCAGTGTCCAAGATCAGAGAGACGGTGCCACCCAGGCCGACAGCAATGTCCTTACAAACAAGTGGGACTGCTCCCATGGTGTACACAGGGAAGGTGGCCACGTCCAGGAGGACTCGGACAGGGATGCCCAGCACACGGCAGACGACCTTCAGTAGACAGCACAGAATCCGGAGAAGAGCCCTGGTGACTTTCCCAGTGACTCTGAGCACCTTCCAGGGTATGCTCAGCAACTCTTCTCCAATGGCCACGAAGTATGAAACAGTGGCCGAGCCCAGGCGGCAAAGGCAGCTTCCCATGCCACTGATCACCTGCTTGGTAATGCACCACACTAAATGGACGACGCTCTTTAGGACCGCGACCACAAGGTAATACATCACTTGTAAAAGCTTGACGAACGGGGTGGCGACGAAACCCAGGAACTTCCCCCAAAGGCTGCGACTTTCCTGAGGTGCCTCTGGAGCCAACAGGGCATCTGTCTTGCTCTGCGTGCTGGCGAGGGGGACAGAGCTCTCTTGAGACTGCACCTTCCGCTCCTCGTCCTGGACTTGGTTAACCACTTCCAAGATCTTCTTCATTTTCTCTGTGTCTTGCTCAGTCTCACCACAGTTGTTGTGAAACAGCTGAGGGTGTGACGGAAGCAGTTTCTCAAGGTCTTTCACCATCACGTCTTCTATGACGTCACTGTCCTGGACATGCTTGACAAAGCCCATGGCCCAGCCGCCTCCGGGGAAAGCACAGCAGGCCGCCAGCCACACAGACTCAGGCACTGCCACTCTGTCTTTAACTCTGCGGTCTGAAGGCACCGCGCCAGCGAGGAGATACAGATCTTCGCCATCGCCACAGTGAGGAATCAACGCCCTGTCCATCAGGCTGTCGAGATTCATGTACCACCGTTCCCGGAAGGACTGGGTCATTGGAACTGAATTTGTGAGAGTGAATATGGCCATCTGGGGATCACTGTTAAGGGGGAACGGGTACAGCTGTCCTCTTTGATAATCAGAATCAACGTAGTCTGTGTTCAAGGCTTGTTTGCTTCCCAGATTGTTCACAGAGGTGATGGCCTCAGCCTCATGAATGACCTCCACAAAGCTGCTGTTGGGGTCATCAATCTGAAAGAAGAGAACACATGTTGAGATGCACCCCTGTTCACAGCGGACAGGAGCACTTGCATCAATCTGCCAAGACTCTATGGGAGTTCTACTGCTCTATTACACGTATGTGCATGTGTGGTCCCAGGGAGTGGACTCAGGGCCTTTGCATGGAGCTACATCCCCAGCCCTTTCCACCTTATCTTGGTACAAGGTTTTGCTAAGTTGCCACATTGCCTAGGTTGGGCTTCAATTTGCAGTTCTCCTGTCTCCACCTCCCAGAGCGCTGGGATTACAGGCATGCACAACACACCCGGTTCTACTCTACCATTTGTAATGCCTGTGTCTGAAAGCACTTTGTTCTCCGATGTACACACTTCATGCTAGCATCTCACAATCCTGACATTTGAAAACATCCTTCAAATGGCAATTTCTATTTTACTTCTTGTGTTTATCTGACCCCCCACTCTACAGTGGCACCCCATCTTACACACATAAATACACATGCACGCACACATACACACACACGTTTTTTTTTGTTTTGTTTTGTTTTGCTGCTGCGGACTGAACCCAAAGTATCATGGATACTGAGCACATGTTCAGCCACTGAGCTACACTGCCCAGCCTATGACATTCCTTTTGAATCTCTTCTACTTCTACGAACTTCATAGTTCTCACGGTATATTTTTCCATCAAATTTAATGTAACTGTAAAATCAGAACTGCAGCTCAAAGAATCAGCCAGCAATGTTAGCTGCAATTTAATACACAGGTTCTAAATCACATTCCTACATTTTGGAATCAAGGGGGATACTATGTGTAGGCTGGTATCAGATATTAGCTACCAGACAAAGTTCAAACTCAAATTAGACCAATTATTGTTTAAACTTAATCTCTTCATGACAGTTACTGTCTTGGTCAGTCCAGGTGTGTGCTACATACCAAATATATCTAGTATAACACACAGTCACTTTTATAATATTAGAGAACAAACAGCTCAGTATTAACCTCGGAATATGTTTTCAATCTCCAAAACCAGATTGTAAATTTCTTGAGAGCAAGGGTCATATATATTCTGCATAAGATCCAGTCCAAGGTCTGATACATACTAGAATCTCAAGGCATTCTCATTCATCTTTAGGCCCTAAAATGGTCATAATGGCAGTATTTATAACAGCAGGAATTTGAACAAGCCCATACTTTCAGCAAAAGTTAAAGTTAGATAATGTTACAGCCATCAAACAAATATTTCTAACCCATTAAAAATATTTGGAATTGGGGCTGGGGATTTAGCTCAGTGGCAAAGCGCCTGCCTGGCAAGCGCAAGGTCGTGAGTTTGGTTCCCGGTACCTGAGAAAAACCAAAAAAAAAAAAAAAAAATTTGGAATTATGCATAGTTTGTAGTGCTGGAAAAATACATGTTATGATGCTGAAAGCGAAAGGAAGGATGTAAAATTAAATTATCATAATTTTTTTGAAAAGGCTAAAGGTATGCAAGAAAAACCACGGAAGGAGATAGAGATACACAGATGAATACGGATTGATTTCTGCGAATGCAGGTGGTATTTTTTCATTTATCTTCTTGTTTCCCTCTCTATACCTCCCCTACCCACATCAACCCATACATTATTTACAATGTGTAACTTTTAAAATGAAATGAGCTAATTAATACAAGTAAATTACTGCTAATTGATCCCCTGGTGTTGGAAGCAGCAATGATCCTAGATGCTCTCCACTCCCACTATATCCCCTGTAGGACAGATGAAGCAGCTCATCCATTTTTGCAAAGATTCAGTCTCTGCTATCTTATAGCTGAAGGATACACCCCTAGGACATACTGCCTTCACTCCTGAATTACTGGATCAAGACGTAGTCGAACCAAGATCCACAGAGTCCTAGGTCCAAGGTCCAAGGTCCGAGATTTTAGGACGTAACTTTCTTCATGGTCACCAGGGCATGCTTTTCTGCATTTAACCCAGTGAGGTATCTTTAGCCTTTCGACAGGAAGTGTGGGAATGGGTTTCTGACTGGGATCCCTGCGACGCCGCACAGACAGCACGCTGATGTCTTCAACTCAAGGACCGCTTGGGGTGAAACAGTGGCACGAGGACAGACAGCAGGCCTGGGACACGAGCGGGGAAGAGGGACTCGAGAAGAAAGGAGCAAAAGAGAGAAAGGCAGGAGGAGGAAAAGTACTATAAGGAGAAAGGGAGGGGAGGGGAGGGGGCAGAGAGAGTACTCTGCTTTTGGGCAAAAAGCAGAGTTGACTTACTGTGGATCAACTCACTCTGTGGTCCTGCAGAGTATGAGCTCCCTGCCACTGCCGGGGAGACTGGCTGGATGCTTCTGCACCCTCAGGCCACTTGGGCTCGTGGGCCTCCACACTTCCGCTCCAGCCATGCACCTGGCAACCAGGTAAAGACTTTCTGCCCATACTTCACAGGCGCCTGCAAAACTGGCCAGCATGGACCTGAGGCGGCTGAGAAAGCCAGGGCCCGACTGCACACTGCGCTGTGCATCCCCCCGTTCTGGTTCTTCTTAGGCAAAGTCTTAACCGTATGCTCCAAATACGCTACGGCAGAACACACGTCTCCCCTCCCCTTCCCTCTGCTTTCACCAGAACAGCACGCCCATGCTGAGTATCTATAGGAACCCCAAGTCTGGTGCTGTGGTTTGCTGACGTGGTAGAATATAGTGTTTGAAATAAGAGGACGAATGCCTGGATACTGAACGGGGTGGGGTGGGGGGGTGGACCAGCGACTAAATTGATAGCTTGTTGAACTATCAATTATGTGTTTTCAGTACGACATTATATGTATATGACTTTGATTGCTGTCTCCAGGCATGTTAGAGCCCTACTCCCTAGGATCCTGCATACTACGTTGGTTATTGATTTCTTACATACTTCTGATGCCTGAAAGTTTCTTTTTTGCTCAAATATGAATTTAATTTTTAAAAATTATGTATTTTATCCAACATGTCTATGTGACCGCAGTGGAAGGAAAGGGATTCCCCACCCGCTCTGACACTTGACCAGATGTTTTCTCCAACATCTCAAGCTTAAAAAAAAAATTTCTCCTAAAGCATGCTTTGTGTTCTTTTATAAGTCATTGTGGGTATATTATTCGAAAATTTATCTACTTTGCTTAACTCTGTTTTTAAATTTAGACCACTTCCTGGAACTGTATTTGAAATAAACAGAGCAGTGCTTTTCGGTACTTATACTGATGGTGTCAACCACTTTACAGGCTGAAACCCTCGCTAAGAGTAGACTACAAGAACTCACAGACTCTTCCCAGGCTGCACGGCCCAAGGTACAAACAAGGTGATTCTGCTTTCTTTCTTTTCTTGGTGCCAAGGACTGAACTCTGGTCATCACTCATGTTAGGCAAGTGCTCCGCCACTGGGCAACACCCTTCTCCTTTCCATTTTATGTTGAGACGGGACTTGCTAAGTTGTCCAGGCTGCTCTCAAACTTGTGACCCTCTTGCCTCACCTTCCCAGGTAGCTGGAACTACCGATGTGTGTACTACTCACACCTGGCTTCTTACTAATTCTTTTGCATTACTATTCACAATTTTTTCATCTATTCACAATATATTTGTTTTCTTGAAATTTATTTCTATAGATTTTACATTTTGTAACTTGGAATCATCCATAAAAGTGGGTATTATGTTCTAAAGTCACTTTGCCATATCAATTATAAAGTTATGTTAAACTCCAGGACTTTGTAATACCCTACCAACTGATCTCGACTAAAGGAAATGCCCATCATGCTAACTTGCTCCCTGTTTTAAAACCAGTTTTTTAAATATAAGATGAAACTTCCTTCCGATCCCAGATGACTAATTTTTAATAGGCTTTGTTGAAGAATCACCTGAAAGATCTAAGTAATTCAGCTCCCTGTCATAAACACATTCACTTACTCCTACAAAACAACCAAGCACATTTTCCCAAAGGGATGCTGAAGGATGTGTGTGTGTGTGTGTGTGTGTGTGTGTGTGTAAAAAACTCACCTTATACCTGGGAAACTATTAAAATAGTAAGACTATTTGACTAAAATAGTTTTACTGTATTTTTCGATATACTGTTATTTAAAGGGCAGGTGGATTTTTCCATGCTTTCCACAGGCATAGTATAATGATCTGGTTGTTGCACTTACAGTAAATTATAGTAAACACAGCTCCCTAGAGGCAGAAATATACCTATGATGTCGGCAGTAATTTCAGATTCTAATTTCTGGATTACACCTGCCCTTCAGCACACACCACCAATTGTCCTCCTTGGCTTCCCAGTGGCTTTTCTGGAGTAGAACACAACAAAGCTCGTGCTGTCTAATCCACCTCCCCGTTGACCTAGGCCCCTTGGGTTGCTGATGTAATTTGATACAGTTTCTGTACCTAATGGAAAATGTTTTTCCTAATCTCAACATTTTCTGTAGGTTTTTTAAAAATGGGTTTACCAGCCTTCTGTCTCATAAATTATCTTACAAGTTTATTTCAAATTTAGTACCAAGAAAAAATTGCTTTGCTTAGTAAGTTGGTATATTTCCTTAAGTCATATAGTAAAATCTATTTAAATTCATGGTGTTTCTTTTTTGTTTCAGAATTAAATGAAAGATGACTTACATTTTTTTTGGTAATATGCATGTAAGGAAAAAAAAGGATGGAGAATTAAAGAGGGCTAGTGAAGGGAAAATACTCATCTATTCAACAATATTTATCAAGTCTATGTTACACATGATTAGTACTGGGAAAGGAAGCATCAGAAATGGTAGTAACAACAACCAACATTCATTAAGTACTATCTACCGGACATCACTCTGAGAATGTTACAAGTAGTAAGTCAGCAAGTGGCAAACGATCCCCTCATTTCAATCTCAACACACTGCCCTATTATTAGCACCGTTTGATAGGTGAGGCAACTGAGGCCATCAAGGTCAAGTGATCGCAGAATGTGGTAGGCTCACGGTATTAACTCGGAAAGTTTGCCCCGTCACTGGTGTCCTAATCCCTGCCTTAT